ATATATATATATATATATATATATATATATATATATATATATATATATATATATATATATATATATATACATATATATATATATATATATATATATATATCTATATAAATGTCTATGCATGTCTATATATTTATTTAATATGCGACTGTTATACCCATGTCCGATGGCAAGGCGGTTGTGGTAAATGTGGAGGTAGACACTACACACTGTGCAATAGATAGATGTAGTGATCGTTGTGCTTGTGGATGTAAGAAAGTTTGTAGGCACATCTGGGATACATACTTACATACATCCTCGAATACATTATCGCCCACACGCAGTACACTATAGAACGTATTGTTTTCATCTTGCAGGTAAAGTGTGACCTGCGTACGTGAGATGCTAGCCTGAACTTCGGTCTTTAACGGCGACTCAACACACCATTGACAAACACATCTGTGATATATATATGCAAAAGCAATATTACCCCCACGCGCACACAGGACACTGCAATGAATCATTTAGATCAAATGCACATCTGTGATACATATACCTCTTCCTTCCTTCTTTCCTTCCATACCTTTATACTTATATATTTATATATATATACTTATGTACTATAAACTTATATACTCATATGCTTATATTATTATTACTCAATTTCATTACCACACGCCCACAGCACACAATGGAATGGAGCATCCCCATCATAGACGCGTCTTCACCGACGGGAAGTATGGAGATGAGCGCACCCGCCAGACACGCAGACGACTTCTTCCCTATCCATTGCACGTTTGTATCATCAACGACGTTCTCGGGCATACAGATAGAAGCGGTGATAGGGGAAGGCAACACACAGACACCCTTCTCAACAGAGACGACCTTTTGCGTGGATTCGTTCCAGGTGGTATAGGCAGAGACCGCGTGCCATGTCGCAGTGTGTGCTACATGTTCATGCTGCTGTAGGTAGAAGTAGGTAGGAGTCTCGCACGAAGGGATCCTCCGGGGTGTATAGAGGGAGGAACCGGGTATGGCTGTACGTACGTGAGGTCAGTGGTAGGATATAGTACACGGGTAAGGTGGCTGTTAGGCAGTTGTGTAGGGGGTAGTGCCTGGTGATGACCTGTCTTAGTCCCAAATCGGTTTTAGGGTCACCTCCACTAAAAGCACTTCATGTATAGTATGTATATTATGTATAGTATGTAGTTGGGCGTCGGACAGGCAGAAGCCGACAAACCAAGATCACCAATGGCATAGTTCCAATAAAGCAATCCTCCCTGTGTTAACGCGTTTCAATCTGTTAGCGTACTAGATAACAGCCGCCGTCTATCTGATCTGCGTATACGTCCGACTTCTCAGGGAGGCTCCACAGGTACCCTTGGGTCGTTGTGAGTGTTTGCACACACACACTCGTGGTGGGGCTATTGAGCGAGTACATTTATACATATAAGAAATAAATCACGGCAGAGACGCCGTAAAGACCAGAAACGTGTTTTTTTTTTTGCTTTTACGAGTTTGGGTTGAAACGGACTTATCCTCCCCCCACTCCCTTCCAAAGCCTCGGTTCGGTGTTGGGTTGTGGGACGGTCTCGACCTTGTCGTACTTGTATGGATGGGACTTTGTAGGGGGGTTCACATAGGCCTAAAGCGCGACGGACAGATCTCATTCATGGTGAGAATAAGGGTTTGCTACGCTTTCAGTAATAAAATTGAACAGTGCAAACAGGATAAGTTCGGTATCCTGGAGACATTCGCGTGCTTTGGCATATGCGGCTAAACTAGTCACATATGACAGGTTATTCAAACGTCAGAGGGCCTTACAAGAAGAGACCAGGTCACACTTCTGTTGTGGGAATTTGTACTGCACGAGCGCTCGTTTCAGGCATAGGCAGATATATACTGCAAATGCAGTCAAGGTATATATCAGCCTTGTAAATCGTACGTACGTATAATAACCAAGTATTTAATCAGCTACAGCTATATATACATTATAGTCAAGGTATATATTAGCCCCCAAAATCGTACGTATGTATAAAAACCAAGTTTTTAGTCAGCTATAATTATATATACATTACAGTCAAGGTATATATTGGCCCGTAAATCTTACGTGCGGTATATAAACCAGGTTTTCATTCAGCTACAGTTCACGTACATGCCTATAGTCAAGGTATACGTTAGCTCCCGAAAAACCCCAATATACTCGCTTGCACGCCGCCGCTCTTTTTCCCCGCCTGTTTCCTTCTTTGGGCCTTAGCCTTGCGCTGCGCTGGTTCTACGGCACGCACTCCATCCCCACCCCCTCCACGTGTTCTATTAATAGCACCCAATCCAATACCATCCCCACCCGTTCTATTAATAGCATCCGATCCATTGCCAATACTCCCCCCGTTCCTCCCTATCCCCATCCCTACCATCTGCTTCGTGGACTTGTCCCGCTTGGTAATAGTCCCCTGTTTCTGTTGCGCTTGGCGGCGCTTCACTTGTCCTCTGCGCTCAGACGCCAACAAACTTTTGTCCATCATGCGTGCTGCAAAGATAGCCGCCTCATCTCGACTACTGATAGCAGGCTTGCGTCTACCCACCTTATCCGTACCTGCACTATCTGCACCTACAACCTCCACACCTACATTCCCGGTGCTATGCGTAGCTGTGCTGCCTACCGTCACAGTTGCATCCCTGTGGGGCATAGCCTTGCCTGTGTCTCCGGATGAGCTTATACCCACCGACGTACCACCCGCATCCCCTACTACCACAGTGCCGAATGTGTTGACGCTCGTTGTAGCACCTAACTCTCCCACTGTCCTCGACTGCTCTCGCACATGTGTGTTGTTAACATCTCCATCCCTATCCTCCTGGACTGCACCCGTTGGCCCTTCCGCAAGGTCCACAGGTGCAGGTACTGCAGGCGAGGACTGTCCTGTTTCAGCCGCTGGGGGGTCGTTACCTGCACCAGCAGCTGTAGCGGTAGCTGTAGCAGCGGTAGTCGCAGAAAAGAACGCGGTAAGCTTCTTCTGTGCGGCAAAGGGCTGTGTGCGCCTGGTGCCTGCATGGTTCTTGTCCAGTGTTATATTCCTCGGTAGTTTCCACTGGCTCCACTGCGTCGTCGTCGTTGAGCTACGCCTGCACACATAGGCACGTGCACAGGCACAGGCACAGGCACGGGGACACATGCACGGACTAGTACATGGACGTGCACGAGTACAGAGGGTCTCTGTAGTGGCGTGTGCGGCCGATTCCTTTTCACGTGCCTGTGCGTCTCTAAGAGGTTGAGAACTGACATCCGTCTTTGCACACGCACACGCACACGCACACGTACGGCTACAACACCTTGCCCCGTCTCTATCCTGCAGCAGCAAGCACACCGGGAGATGGTCCGAGAACTTCGGTGGCGTGTAGATCATCCCCGTATGGGGGGCTATTATATGGAACTCGTAGGCCTTTCTTGGGGCCTCCATCATGCCACTGCCATCGAACGGCGCCGGGACAAACAGTCCCCCCGCAGTCACACAGTGCATGGCGTCGGCTTGCCCTGGCACCTTAAAAGACGGTACTGTGGGTGCTATAGGGCCAGGTGTACCTACTGCGATAGACTGGGCTTCAAGGCGTGTTACTGCGAGTTCTTGTCCAGGACCAGTGTTTGTGGTATCCGTGGTATGTGAATGTTCGGTACTTTCCTGATTCGGGTTGTCGGTAGTCGAGCGGGTGGGTTGATCCTGAATACTTCTCTGCGCGGCGGTTGCTAGGTTGCTCTCCCCGTTGCAGGTTTTTTGTATTGTTTCTTCAGAGCTTTTTATCTGTGGATACACCTGGACATTAACTTCTGGGCTGATCCTGCCCTGCACCTTGTCTTCAACTTCTGGACCGGGTCTTCCCTGTAGCGCATGTCCAATAGAGGCACACTGTTGAAAGAGAGGTCTGTCTACCATGATGAAGTCGATGCGAGCTCCCTCATTAAAATACCTGTACACAGAAGACATAACAGCGGATGAGTATAACCAAGAATGTGTATAGTTCAATTACCCAAATCAAGAAAACACAGCACCCCCTCAATATATTATATACACCGGTGGCCTACACTATGCATAGCCTAACTGACCGCACACACACACACACACACACCACCACACACACTCATTGTAATCTCTGCACACGTGCACTAGTACAACGGATGAGCACACAAGAGAATCACTGTAAGCATACACGCACAAACCGCACACTCGCACACCTTCAGTAGATACGCAGCAAGAAATATAGATATATGTATATATCTTAATATATGTATATATATATATGAGTACGCAAAACGCGCTCTCGCATGCGGATGGAATACCGTGAACATGTCGACGATATCATCTATCATCCCGAAAAGATGAATCAGAACACACACACACACACATCCGTAAACTAGCACATGTGCAGCAGATGCGTACATACACAAATACACACACACACGCACACACATACGTACGCATACACACACACACGCACACGCATACGGACGCATACACACAACTCCACACATATAACAGCCTACCTTCTATTCGTATACTGTTCAAAGCACGTGAAACGCTCTCGCGCGTCTGGATGGAACGCGGTGAAGCTGTCCACCATATCATCTTCTGAGATCAAACCGTTTAACCATTTCTGGTTGAAGAGGCTCGAATACGAGGACCCAAACGCAGCCAGGCTGTACTGTTCACGCTCAGTCAGTACCAGGCCACCACCCTGCGAATGGGATATGGGTTATAAGTGCTGAGGGTGTTAATGTATGCATATATATATATATATATATATATATATATAAGAAAAAGCCAACAACGCTTACAACGTATACTTTCACTCGTCTCTGCTGTTACAGTACAAGTGTCATCGACATTGTACCGTATGTCCACCACATACTAAAGGAACAGTATAGCGAGGTACAACGAACACATGAATTCGGTTATGCACGGTCTGTGGTAATAATATAGGTATAAACGAGTACATAAATACATACACAAGCGAATATACCTTTTTAAGACCATGGACATATTAACATATTCATATATGCCAACACAAAAAGAACACACCTTCTCCAAACACTCAGACCACTGTTTGACTGTGAGTTCGTGCCTGCACGTCTCTATATCACACGACCCGGTGTTGGGCGTGTGTGTGTGTGGGTGGGTGTGTGGGTGTGGTTGTATGCGGCCACCTGCAGTCCAGCCATCCGTCCCATCCAACCCCCTCGCGCCATCTGGTACACTTTCCCAGTCATTTGTCCGTGCATCCCCATCTCTATCTCCATCTCTATCTGCATGTATCTCTGTATCTGTCTCGGCTGGTGTTTGTGTCTGAGCCAGATGTCTCTGTGTGTGGTTGGGTGCGCGCGTGCTGAGTGTTGTCTGCAGGCTGTTCGGTACCAGCGCCACTTCCACATCGTCCCACTCACCCACCATAAAGCTCCCAGCCGCCCGAGCCAAACTGTCGAAGCGTTTGCCCAGCCATTTCTTACCGCAGGCGGATTCTACCTACATGTACGTGTCAACGACTCTGAGATAGGCAGATATATATGAACCCGTGCGTGTTCTGTGTGGAGTGTTGGTCGCAACATAACAATCCATTCGCTTGTAATTTCCACATGCAATTTGCCGTTCGTGATCATTGTCATAGCGTTTAGTCCCCACAGTATGGGTGTATACGGATACTTGCACATAGTTGCGTGGATTGGGTGTGTAGGGTTGAGTGCAGGCGTACTGATTGTTCTGTGTGTGTCGTTTGTAATGATTGTATAATAGC